CCGGGGTACATGATTTCAAAGGAAATCCCTGGAGAGGATATAAGGTTGAAGATCTGTGCTAGATCTGAAACCTCAATCCTCCACCTTGTGAAACTAGAATAAACCTGGAAGATTCCAAGCGCAGCGGCACGAACAAGCCTTGTCTTGAAGTTAAACCTATGGTGCATGGCTGTCATGATTGGTGTTAGCGGTTGGTACCACCAATGCTTCAGTTGGCTTTCTAAATACAAGGCTGACACGTACCCAGTGTCAGACATTTCCTTGGAGAAAATCCCTTTTCACGTGTACTTGAATCAGACATCAATGAATACATTAGGCACCTTTTCTGGTGATATTTCAACACGATGATGCATAGGTTGGTGTTGGTGGGACAGGGTTGGGTGACTGATAGTATTGCTTTTGTTGTTGTGGGGTGGGTCTGTTTAAAGTTTATTTATTGATTCTCTCTCTCTCTCTCTCTCTCTCTCTCTCTCTCTCTCTCTCTCTCTCTCTGTGTGTGTGTGTGTGTGTGTGTGTGTGTGTGTGTATACATGAGTTTATGAGTATCACGTGCATGTACGTGCCTTCAGAAGCCGGGGGCTCTTATCCCCGGTAACTGGAGTTATAGTGTGATAACTGCCTGATGAGTGTGGAACCTAAACCCCAGTCCTCTGCAAGAGCAAAACATATTCTCAGCCACTGGGCATCTCTCCAGGTCGGGTGAAGTTGTTTTAATTATGTTTGTTTGTTTGTTTGTTTGTTTTTAGACAGGGTCTCTCTCTGTCTCTATGTCTCTGTCTCGCCTCCCTTCCTCTTTCCCTCCCACCCCCTCCCATTATGTAGCTCTGGCTGTCCTGAAACTTGCTCTGTAGACCAGGCTGGCCTAAAACTCAGAGATTCACCTGCCTCTGCCTCCCAAATGCAGGGATACTAAGCTCGTTTTTATTGGTTCCCATATGGCAAAGTTCTCTCTCTCCTTCTCCCTTGCCTCCCATTATACACCTCTGACGTTTGTGCCTGGACACACTCCTTCCAATGCATGCTTAGTGACTCCACTAAATTAATATACATGGATGTGTAATGAAGTTACATAAATCTGCCAACTACCTGATTGTTTCCTTTTTGAAAATTAACTAATTACATTTTATGGTGCATAATATTTGCACATCTTTATAGAGCACAAATGGTACTTTATGGTAATTCAATACATACAATGTATAATGATCAAATCCAGATAATAAACATTTCCTTCTCTTCAAATGTAAGTTATTTCTTCAAAAATGTTACTCCATTCACTTATTTATTGTGTATTGTGTGGGCACGCGTGAACCATGGCACACATGTGAAGATTAGAAACAATTTGTGGGAGTTAGTTCTCTCCTTACACTTTGTGTGACCTGAGGACCAAATTCAAGACATCAGGCACAGCAGCAAATGCCACTGAGCTATCGGGTTGACCCCAACCTTGGTCATTTCTATATGTTGGAAATTTCATTCATTTGTAGTCAATTTTAAATAGTCTGAAGTTTTTTAACCTACTGTCACCTATGATAAAGAAGAGCCACCTTACCTGCATTTGATGGCCCCATTGGACTTATTTCTGACTCTCCTCCCCATCGTCCCCTGCTGTTCTCAGACACCAGTAATCTCTATTCAGTTTCATTCTCTGAAATATTAACTGAGAGTTTCCACAAGCAAATGTGAGTGCAGTGTGTTTGTAATTTTGTGTCTGGCTTGTTTCATTTGGCATAATTACCTCCAGTTCCATCCACATTGAGGCAAACCACAGGATTTCATTCTTTCTTGTGGCTGAATTGTATACTCCATTGTATACTCCACTGTATACACTATTGTATACTCCATTTTATACACAATTGTATACACTATTGTATTACTCCATTGTATACACTATTGTATACTCCATTGTATACACTATTTTATACACTATTGTATTACTCCATTGTATACACTATTGTATACTCCATTGTATACACTATTGTATATTCCATTGTATACTCCATTGTATACATCATTGTATACTCCATTGTGTGCTCTATTGTATACTCCATTGTATACTCTATTGTATACTCCATTGTATACTCCATTGTATACTCCATTGTATACTCTATTGCATACTCCATTGTATACTCCATTGTATACTCTATTGTATACTCCATTGTATACTCTATTGTATACACCATAGAATATACCACATATGCTCCATTGTATACACCACATTTCAAACTCCTTTCATCCACTGAAAGGCAAGTGGGTTGATTCCACATCTTTACTATTATGGCTAGCTCGGCAATAGCTATGGTAGTAGAAGTGTCTTTTGGGGGTAACAATCTTTGAATTTATACTAGTAGTGGAGTCACTGATTCCTACAGCATTCTATTTTCAGTTTTTGTGAGAAATTTTCATTTTGATTTTATGACTGTTATAATTTATGTTTCCTGTAACAACTGTCTTATTGGGTTTTGTTGTTTCTTTGGTAATAGTCTGCCTAACTGGATGAGGTGAAAGTCAATTACGGTATTTTTAAGAGTTATTTTTATTATTTTTAAAGCATGTGTATTTATTTCACCTATATGTATGCATATGTGCCTGTGTATGCTCTGTGTGTGTTGTGTGTGTGTGCACACGCACTCGTGCGTGCAGATATTTGCAGAGGCCAGAAGAGAACATCAGAGTTATAGCCAGTTGTGATGTGGAGCTGGGAGTTGAACCCAGGTCCTCTGGAGGAGCAGCCAGTGCTCTTGACCACTGAGCCATTTTTCTAGCCCCTGGTGTTCAGCTTTTGAATTCTTTATACATTCTGCATACCCATCACAGGCAGAAGAATGAAATTAGGACTTCTGCTCTCTGTACACAATAATCAGCTCAGAGTAGATCAAAGGCCTCCAAGCCCACACATGTTGCAAAAGAAAAGATCTCAGCCTTTCATGGCTGAACTGTATTCCACAGTGTATTGATACCATAGGTTTCTGTTTTGTTTGTTCATTTGGGATGATTGAATTGTTCAGACATTTATCTCTTGATTGGCATTTGTGTGGCTTCCATATCTTGGCTGTGAGAATGATGGTGTAATAAACATGAAAGTGCAGGTGTCTCTTTGGCATAGAGTTCCAGTAGTGGGGTCTTTCAGTACTTCAGTATTTTGTTTGTTTTACTATGTGCCTCTCTGGCCTCAACCTTACCATATAGCTGAGGATGACTTTCACTTCTGATCCTCCTGCCTCTGCCTTCCTAGTGCTGGGATTTCACACCTATACTTAAGTGTGTGTGTGTGTGTGTGTGTGTGTGTGTGTGTGTGTGTGTGTGTGTTTAGTATATGTGTATGTACACGTGTGCTGGTGCATGTATCCATGCATGTGCATGTGGAAACCAGTGAAGGATGTTGGGTATCTCCCTCAATCACTTTCTGGCTTAGCCTCTCAATGAACCTGTAACTTGCTATTTGGAGCAGACTGGTTGGCCAGTGAACTCCAAGGATCCCCCGTCTCTGCTCCCACAACACTGGGGTTCCAGGTGTGTGTGCTAGTGCCCAATGTGTTTACTTGGTGAGACCCCAGGACCTGCCTGTCTCTGCACTCCAGTGCTAAGGCACAGGGCTTTTTATGTGAGTGCTTGGAATTTAAAGCCAGGCTCTCACGCACGCACAGCCAGTGCTCTTACCCACTGAGCCATCTCTCCAGCACCTTCTCCCTATTTCTTTAATTTTTGAGGAACCTCTAAAATGTTTTTCATAACACCTCACTAATATTCCTTCTCACTACCAATGATCTTATTTTCTGACTCTGTTTTGGGTGAGATTGAACCCAGGGCCTTGCACATACTAAGCAAACACCGTTCCCTGACATACATCTCCAGATCCTTGTTTTCTTTTCTCTCTCTCTTTTTTTATTAATTTATTCTTTACATTCCAATCCCAGATCCCCTCCCTCCTTTCCTCCCGCTCCCTCCACTCTCCCAATCTCCCATCTGCTCCACGGAGAGGGTGAGGCCTCCCCTAGGAAGTCTACTAAGTCTGTCCCATCATCTGGTTGAGGCAGGACCAAGGTACCTCTCCACCCCCACACCCCTGTGTCCAGGCTGAGCAAGGTATCTCTCCATATAGAATGGGCTCCACTAAGTCAGTTTGTGCATTAGTGTTAGATCTTGGACCCACTGCCAGTGGCCTCATATATTGTCCCATCCACAATATTGTCACCTATATTAAGGGGGTCTAGTTCAGTCTTATGCAGGTTCCCCATTTGTCAGACCTGACTCAGTGATCTCTCACTAGCTCAGGTCAGCTGATTCTGTGGGTTTCCCCATCATGGTTTTGACTCCTTTGTTCTCTTTGATTGTACTCCAGGAGCTCAGCCCAATGGTTAGTTGTGGATTTCTGCATCTGCTTCCACCTGTTTCTGGAAGAGGGTTCAAGCTTCTCTGGGGTTATGGATTATAGGTTGGGTATCCTTTGCTTTATGTCTGGTATCTAGATCCTTTTTTTAAATAGACATACTTGGGCCTGTACTTGGGGAGGAGCCCTAAGAAGGCTGCCATTAGTTTTGAATTGGCATAACTCTTTCTGGCAGGAGGCAGGTGAGTTTGCTTCTGTACTTTGTTTTCTAGCTGCTCAGCACTCTAAAGTTACCCTCAAAGCCAAGATCCTGTGGGTTCTGTAATGATTTCTGCACTGGCTTGTTTCTTCT